CCAGGTAAGCCTCTTCTCTGGGGGAGTGGGCTAGGCCCATCTGGAAGCCTTTCTTTTGTCCTGCAAGCTGCCCATTCTCGCAAGCGCTCCTTCTGGAAGTCTTTCCAACAAATGCACTGCTTAGGGATTTCTGCTTCTCTGGGCGCTCACTACCCTTAATGGCCAGGCCTGCATGCTTTAGCGGTATGTGGCCAAGTCGGGTTTCACATACAGTATTTTCATCCCTGCGTCAAGTTGACGAGTCCAAAACCTCCGGCATGGCTTCTTGGTCTTGCTTCGCAAGGTTTTGCACAGGGCTAGGCACCTGAGAAATGTTCAAGAAACTTCTGTTGATTCATCAGTTGATCCAGTGAATGTCCAAGGCGGTCCTGAATGTTCTTAACTGAAACAATTGGGTGGGCGTAGAGCAGACTGTTAGCAGACTTACCTTGCATAATAACTTTTCACTTAACTAATTTTCTTTTCTTTTTTTTTTGAGACAGAGTTTCGCTCTTGTTGCCCAGGCTGGAGTGCAATGGCACGGTATTGGCTCACTGCAACCTCTGCCTCCCAGGTTCAAGCGATCCTCCTGCTTCAACCTCCCGAGTAGCTGGGATTACAGAAATGCACCACCATGCCCGGCTAATTTTGTATTTTTAAGAGAGACAGTGTTTTTTCCATGTAGGTCAGGCTGGTCTCAAACTCCCCACCTCAGGTGATTCCCCCCGCCTCGGCCTCCCAAAGTGATAGTATTACAGGCTTGAGCCACCATGCCCGACCCACTTAACTAATTTTCACAGCTCTAGAGAAGTAAAAATTAGAATAACGCCCCTCCTCTTTTTTCCAGAATAAAGACTTTTCACTCCCAAGCACACTAAATCGTATGCTAAATCATAATATTGAAATCATAGTTTCAATATTACAGTTTCAGGCAAAGACACATTCACCAATTTCCCTGACACAACAGTTTCTGTTCAGAGAATCTGAAATAGAACAATTTTGACTTACAGGTCAAGTGTGGATAAATATTTTCTTTTGCGTATATGTGCCATGTAGATGGGGTGAAGAGGTGGCATCTTTTGCTACTCTTTAGTGCAGAGGTTGGTAAACTTTCCTTGTCAAAAGCCAGAGAGGAAATATTCTAAGCGTTGAAGGCCAAAATGTCTCTCTTGCAGAACTACTTAACTTTGCTCTTGTAGCATGAAAGCAGTTATGCACAATCTACAAACAAATAGATGTGACCTTGTTCCATTAAAACTTTATTTACAGGCCAGGCATGATGGTTCATGCTTGTAATCCCAGCACTTTGGGAGGCTGAGGCTGATGGATCACTTGAGGCCAGGAGTTCGAGACCAGCTTGGGCAACATGACAAAATTGCATCTTTACTAAAAATACAAAAATTAGCTGGGTGTGGTGTCATGCCACCTTTAGTCCCAGCTATTCGGGAGGATGAGGCAGGAGGATGGCTTGAACCTGGGAGGTGGAGGTCACCGTGAGTCAAGATCTTGCCACTGCACTCCCTGGGCAACAGAGCGAGACCCTATCTCAATAAATAAATAAATAAATAAATAAGTTGAAAAATAAAAAAGCTTTATTTACAAAGACAGGCAGTGGGCCAAATTTGGCCCATGTACTCTTGTTTGCAGACCCCTGCGTTAGTCCTGTGAGCACCAATTATTTCCCTGTTCTGTGAACTTCTTTATTTTGCCCTAAAGGGTCTGTTTGGTTTTTTACTATGCTACTTTAAGTATGGTTTATTTTGAGGGCAATATAATCATCATCTCCTAAAAGGATTTAAAAAGTAATGCAGAAAATGGCACAGGATGAACAATGTACCTTATAATGACTGATTCTCCCACAGCCCTTCCTCTGTCAGTCCCAGCTACTCTCACGTTTTCCTTCATTCGTTTGGTGAGTAAAAGAAACCTTCATTACATTATATTACACAAAATGTGTTTATTTTCAATATTTTGACAATATATTACTTTTGTAGACTTGTTTTCATTGTTCAAGTAATACATTTTAAAATTACTGATTTTAATTTTTTTAATTTTTAATTTTTGTGGATACATAGTAGGTGTATATATTTGTGGGTACCTGAGATGTTTCCATACAGGCATGCAATGTGAAATAATCATATGGTGAATGTGGTATCCGTCTCCTCAAGCATTCATCCTTTGTGTTACAAAGAATCCAGTGGCAGTCTTTCAGTTATTTTAAAATGCACAATTAAGTTCAATGAGTACATTTTCCTATCTGTGTTTGCATATCTTAGTTTGGGATAGAATGCTTCGTAATTTTCCTATTACAGTGAATGGAACTATTTTTTGGTTTAATGGCTTTTCACTCAGCAGTTGACCATTCAGCAATGAATTCCTGTTGGTAAGTGATGGGTAGGTATGACTTCAGAGGAAGCTCCACATTGCCCTCACCTCTGGGGGAACTGCAAGTTCAAGGCAGGTGACGGCTACTCCAGCTGGCAACACATGGCCACCATTCAATGTCAGTGGGGACCCTGAAAGTTGTGAGGAGATCAGGAGGAGGAACAAAAGAGGAAAGAAGTGGGTCCTGGTGTCGCGCTTGGGTGATTGTCGTCTCTGTCGTCTCTACAGGAAGCTTTGTCAAGCTGCAGACATGCCATATATGGCAATCATTCCATCCCCTATCTATCCATTTGTGATTTTCCCATGCCACCTGAGACCATTCCTTTGTCTCAGTGTCCTTATTTGTAAATCAGAGTTAAAATGCCTTTGCTATCAAGTATGTAGATTTACCATGAGGTTAAAGCGAGTGTGCTATGCCTATGTGAAGTATTATTGTCAGCTGAGCATTTAGAAGGAATAATTAGGACTTTGAAAGATGACAACCTTCTTCCCCCTCCCTCCGCAGATTAGCATGTGAGGTTCCTGAAGCTGAAGCTGGTTGGTTGTTGTTATTGTTGTTTTTGTATTTTTTTTTTTTTAGATGGAGTCTTGTTCTGTTGCCCAGGCTGGATTGCAGTAGCGCGATCTCGGCTCAGTGCAACCTTGCCTTCCAGCGATTCTCCTGCCTCAGCCTCCTGAGTAGCAGGAATTACAGGCACCCACCACCACGCCTGGCTAATTTTTGTATTTTTAGTAGAGACGGGGTTTCACCATGTTGGCCAGGCTGGTCTCGAACTCCTGACCTCAGGTGATACACCCGTGTCTACCTTTTGGTTTTTTTGAGACACAGTTTCATTCTGTCACTCAGGCTGGATGACACGATCTCAGCTCACTGCAACCTCCACCTCCCAGGTCCAAGCAATTTTTGTGCCTCAGCCTCCCTGAGTAGCTGGGATTACAGTCGTGCACCACTACGCCCAGCTAATTTTTGTATTAGTAGAGACAGAGTTTCACCACGTTGGCCAGGCTGATCTTGAACTCCTGACTTAGAGGGATCTGCCCACCTCAGCCTTCCAAAGTGCTGGGATTACAGGTATGAGCCACCACTCCTGACCCTGAGGCTGGGTTTTAAGAGTAAGTGGCCAGGGCTAATTTGGATGATTTTTATTGCTCTTATTTCTCCCTTTCGCTGTGAAGGGCCAGGAAATGTCAATGTTGGAGCTGCAACACTGAACATGGCAGACATGATTCCTGACCTTGTGGAGCTCACGGTCTAAGATGTATTCTAGAGTCAAGTCCAAAAACTCTTGGGAGAATCCTTTACTAGGGGCCAAAGGCCTGCTAGAATGTGTTATGGAATAACAGCAACAAAATAACATCAACAGCCAACGAGTATGGGATATCAACACACCATGACCTCATAACTTGGGCAAAGGCTTATGATCTTCTGACTTTGCCGCCACATGAAATGAGCAGAAAGTAAGATATGTTATGGAATAAGCCCCAAAACTTGAGAGAATCCCATGCTAAGGGCTTAAGCCCTGACCAAGACAAGCCAAACAGAACCATAAACGAGTGGCCATGTTATACTGAGCTCATCAGCACCTGCTGAGCGCCTGTGTCATCCCTAAAGCCATGTGTACAGGTTTTGCGTTGAGATAATTGCTCTACTGGTTTCTAGATATAGTTGAGTTCTCTACCCGCACTCCCACTGCCCTATGACCTCCAGCAAAACAAAAGCAGGTGGATAGTAATTGTGTTGTGAATTAATGATATCTACATCTGTGGATAACAAAATCTATATCATTTCAGTGGTAGCATTGGAATATCAGTTGCCCTTCCCCATGAAGAAAGCACATTTTTATCATTTAAATCATTATCATGACCAAAAAAATGAAAGACCCAGTGATTCATCAGTCTTTCCAGTGAAATCAATTGCCTTTGTTTTTTGTTTGTTTATTTTTGAGACAGGGTCTCTCTCTTTCTCTCTGTCACCCAGGCTGGAGTGCAGTGGCATGATCTTGACTTACTGCAACCTCACCTCCCAGGCTTCAGCGATTCTCCCACCTCTGCCTCCTGAGTAGCTGGGACTACAGGTGCTTGGCAACACGCCCGGCTAATTTTTGTATCTTTAGTACGAACAAGGTTTCACCTTGTTGGCCAGGCTGGTCTCGAACTCCTGGCCTCAAGCAATCTGCCTGCCTCAGCCTCCCAAAGTGCTGGAATTACAGGCATGGGCCACCGCGCTGGGCCTGAAACCAATTGCCTTTGAATTCATTCTGGGGAATCTGCTGAAGTGGACACTTCATGTAAACACAAAAACATCCTAATTAATGGCTGCCTCAGTGGGAGTGGCAGACAAAACACATGGGTGAACTTTTCGTCAAAACCATGCAAGGAAAAAAATCTCTCATCATATCTTTTGTAGTTGCTAATAAACTTAATTCACACATTTGTATGTGTGTGTGTGTACAATTCTCAGTACCACAAAGAGGAAGTGCTTTTTCTCCTTCCTTTAACAAAAAGTTCCAGTTCAAACCATCAGCCTCTGTAGGTTGTCTTAATTGCTACTTTGCACTGCACTGGACTATGACTGATTTTTGGCACATGCTATCATACACAAAGTTCCTAAAATAAAATGCTCCAGGATATCCTAGGAACTCTTAGAAGGCTTTAAAAAGGGACTCACACACTGAAAGAATATCTTTGATGAAGACAATTCAGGCAAGCAGAATGATTCTTGCAACAGAATTACATGATTAATTGAGATCTTGAAGTGCGCCCGGCGAATCCTGGCCACCTAACTTATCATGATTTGGGGGAGTTTCACAAGAATCCAGTTTTGATAAAACAATTGTTTTTTTCCTCCCCAAGTGACTATACATTTAAATAGCTAAAACATCTGTTCAGCAACATACTAAAACATGTATACTCGGAACGCTTGAGAGAAGAGCCTGCCAAACAATCGGTTGAGAGGGACTTTGCTGAGGGAGAGCACCAAGATAAAGCAACACTGTTTTGTCTAGTCAGGGGGAAAGACAAGGCAACCAATATTTTGGATTTTATAATTTTCATTTGTGAAGAATTATTTGAGAAAGGGTGGCGAGGGGAGATTTCCTGACGGGAGATTTTTAAGCTGTCCATTAGTAGAAGAGCAAGAGAGCCTTGGATGTCAACGCCTCGGTCTTGAGACCAGCCACCAAACCACGAAAAGTGACTTTCTTCTCGTGTGTTCTCTGCGACCCTTCTGATGGAAGCAGAAACAGGGAGCGGCGTGGAGACTGGAAAGAGGGCCAACAGAGGCATTCGAATTGCCCTGGCCGTGTTTGTTGGTGGCACCCTAGTTCTGGGCACGATCCTCTTTCTAGGTAAGTGGAGTGCAGGAGGCTGGGGGAACCGGGTGTGTGCTGAGACGTTTCCTTGTGCTTTATTGTAGCAAAACTTGTCATAACACAGGTACATGGCTGTTTGCCTGTGTTCGTAGGTGGTGCATCTTTAGTTCTATCAAATATGCAAATGAAAAGCCTTTTTAAAGATGCCTAAATAAATAAATACACCCAAGTACCAAATGTATAGTCCAGAAGGCAAAGTGGGTGTAAGTGGCTTCGAGTGGCTGGCTGATTCTGTTGCATTAGGCAGAAAAATTTTTATGTGGTACGTTTAGCAAAATTAGTGTTTATGAATTCATAGTCACGTAGCTTCATTTATATTTTGAGGGAAGACTTTACATAGATTTTGATGAAAACCATGCTGGAGTTTCTTTCCATTTGACTTTTATTAATGTTTGCCTGAACAAATCATGAAATGTAATTCACAAAACACAAATCAGTCCTTTAAAGTGCACTTTTAATGATATTCTTCAACTCCTTTCTTATCCAGTGACTCTGATGAGATGCAGTTTGATTTATAAATGAATATGAAGGAAAACAGAGGTTTCCCCCCAAGATTTGAAAGATATTGTGATTCAATTATTTTAATGACTCTTGGTGAGAATGATGTACCCAGAGAGTATATAGGATGATAGAAGTGTATTCCTATGAAAAAGAATCAAATATCTTGGAAAGGAGTGAGGGATTTTTGAAAACTCCAGGCTTTCTGAACCCTTGACTATTACCATTTTAATTTTTCTCATACAACACAAAATACTTCATTAGCCTGAATGTTATGGAGGAGATTCGAGGTGCAATTTGAAATGTAGCAAACCTGGAAACATTCCTTGGCATATACAGGATTGCAGGAGGACATGTTTATTTTGGCAGAGGTAAACCAGTAATTAAACTTTAAAAGAGTTAGGGTTGTTTGGTTGAAAACTCTGCTAAAATGAGCAAACCATCTTCCCATGTTTTCTGTGGCTGAAGATTTAGGAAATTAGATGGGTTTATTGCTTTCTGGTAAACCTAAATCTCCTACTCCTGCAACTGAATCTGTGGCTCTTGAAAACTCTTGAGATTTCTCAGCACTTAGGGCTTAGACAAGGTCCTCTGCTGAAATTCAAAATGAGAGGAAAAATTCTATGGGCAATTCAAAAGACTACGAGATGTGTGGAATGTGACTGCAAGGTTAGGTTTTGCAAACCCTCCCAAACTTAAAAATCCAAATAATTATTGTTTATGTAAAAATATGTACTCTTTCTAATGGTATTACCACTACACGAAACTTTTACAAAACTCCACTTTTATGATTATATCCCAAGGCCATGGCATATTCATTGAAAGATTCTCCATGGCAGCAAATCTTTGTTCTATCAGAGAAAATTATTCTTGGGAAACAGTGCCAGTGTTTTTAGAGCAAAGTAAAATTCATCAAGCCTGACACTGCTATTATGGATAAGGAGGACTGCATAAAATATGAAAGAGAACTTCCCAGCATGCCCTGTAACCTGGCTCTCACCTTGACTCTCTAGTCTAAGAGGAGCGCAAATGATGTTAGAGAATAAGGGCAAACGAAGGCTGTGGCCTCAACGTCTTTGCTTCTCAAAATGGGGTCTGTGGACCAGCAGCATCACTATCATTGGGGAGCTTGAGCGACACCCCAGACCTGCTGATTTAGTCTGCATTTTCACAAGACCCCCAAGGCATTGTTTGCAAATACAGGTTTAAGAAGCATTGCTTCAGGTGACCACATCTATTTGGATGTATACATTCAGGGACACTTCTTTTTGTCAAATATTTCTGCACTATTTTAGAATTCCCCCTTTCCCCCCATCCTCATCCCTCCCCTCGGCTCTGCCACCCACCTCCACTCTGTACCCAGTCAAAGTGCTTGTCTGAAAGACTCCAGGGGCCTACTCAGCAATGCTCTTCGTGACAATATTCTAGTTAGGGTCATCTTCTCTTCAAGGGCTTCCTGGTTGACTTTGTGGTATGTTTCTCTGCCTGTCCACGTTCACTTACATGCCTACAATTTCCAGCATCCGTTCTTACTAACTCTTCTTTTTATCTGAGGCTCCGGGATAATCTGTCTTTGAAACCTTACTGCTTCTACAGTAAGAGTGATTGCCAGGGGCCTCGCGGTGGCTTCAGAGAAGCTGCAGAGCACTAGAATGGAAAACATATTTGCCTGCAACCAGTTTATTTATTTTCAAGTGTCCTTTCTTCTTCTCCTTCCCTTCTTCTTCCTCCCCACAATCTGTTTCTCAGATGCAGTGGCCGGCAAACTTTCTGTCAAGGGCCAGATAGTAAATATTTTCGACTCTGTGGGCCATACGGCCTCTGTTGCAACGACTCAGTTCTGTTGTCATTGCACAAAAGCAGCCATAGACAATATGTACACAAATGGGCATGGCTGTGTGCCAAGCAAATCTGCTTTCTAGACACTGAAATTGGAATTTTATGTACTTTTCATGTGTCATGAAATATTATTTTTCTTTTTCTTTTTCCCAACCATGAAAAAAATGGAAAAGCCATTCATAGCTCAATGGGCCGTACAGAAACAGGCAGCGGATTTGGCCATTCTTACGCTCTTGATCTGTGGATGACTCCCCTGTATCCTGAGGGCATTTCCTCTGTTTCTGGAGAAATCTACAATGAGAAACCAAATTGCCATTTACATGTATCTTTTAAAGCTCCTAACCATTCAAAAGTAACATCTTAATTTTTATGTCAAAAATATTTTCTTGGCCGGGCGTGGTGGCTCATGCCTGTAATCCCAGCACTTTGGGAGGCTGAGGTGGGTGGATCACCTGAGGTTTGGGGGTTCAAGACCAGCCTGACCAACATGGAAAAACCCCGTCTCTACTAAAAGTACAAAATTAGCAGGGCATGGTGGGGTATGCCTGTAATCCCAGCTACTTGGGAGGCTGAGGCAGGAGAACTGATTGAACTCAGGAGGCAGAGATTGCGGTGAGCCGAGATCGCGCCATTGCACTCCAGCCTGGGCAATAAGAGCAAAACTCCGTCGCAAAAGGAAAAAATTTCTTTATTATCTCTATTTCATTCACTTACACCTTTACATTATCTGGGTTTGTTGATTATCATTTATTTGCTGGATTTTAAAATAACCCCATCCATGGAGATAATGCTCTTCCTTGAAGGGTTGGGTCTGTCAGTGTCCCAATTAAATATATATATATATATATATATATATATATATATATACACACACACACATATATATATTTGTTTTGGTTTTTTGAGACGGAGTCTCACTCTGTCACCCAGGCTGGAGTGCAGTGGTGCAATCTTGGTTTACTACAACCTCCGCCTCCTGGGTTCAAGCAATTCTCCTGCCTCAGCCTCCTGAGTAGCTGAGATTATGGGCATGCACCACCACGCCCAGCTAATTTTTGTATTTTTAAGTAGAGATGGGGTTTCACCATGTTGACCAGGCTGGTCTTGAACTCCTGACCTCAGGCGATCTTCCTGCCTTGGCCTCTCAAAGTGGTGAGAATACAGGCCTGAGCCACCACGCCCAGTCTAATTAATTATATTTAAAACATTCATTCTATTCATTGTTAGATAAAGATACTTGATTTTATTTCTTCCTTTGAAGTTTTGGGTCAAGAATTATTTCTCATGAAAGGAATAAGTCTTTAAATAATGATTTTATTAGCTCTTTTGTTTTTTAAAATAAGGCTAGGATCAAGAAGATATTGTCCAGAATTATAAAAATATTATTATTGTTTACAATAAAGCTTATTTTTGCATTATTAAAAAGAACACATGCTCACTAAAGAACATTAGGTCAACATATGAAAACTGACTGATGGGGACAATTCCCCCCGTGGTTCTACCACCCAGGCCTATTGGAAGACTGCACACTAATCTTTATGCTGCTCATATATATTTTTTTACCTACCTTTTTTTTTTTTTTTTTTGCTTTATATAAAAATCAAAACACACCTTTTTGCTAAGGTGTGCTTTCTTAAAAATAGGCCTGAGATGTTCCGTAGGCAGTTTTTTTGAATCTATAATGTAACACATGCAAAGAGGCTGGAGGATGGCAGCACAGAAAAGAACAAAGAAAAAGCAGGCTCCATTTAGAGCGTGGGTTAATAAATACTAAAAACTCGCCACACTGGCTAGTCATCTACAGGTCTTCCATCTCTAGCAGAAATATAGGTACTGCCAAACTTTCCGATACTGCCACAAAGAGCCTTGGTCCCCATTCGCCTCCCACCATCCCTCTCACCGTGGCCATATCTCCAGATGATTCATTGTTTCTGCTCACAGAGCACAGCAAGAATGAATTCCCCAGAATTTCCTCAGCTACCACAAATATTTCTGAAATCTTAAATTCGCATCTGCTAATGCCCAGGTGCTACCTGGAGTTGACGAATTGGGCACACTTCTGTACTTCAGCAGAAATCTATTTAGATAATGTTGCCCGCCAGATGGGGACAATAAACCATTGGTGAAAAGCTATCTCAATTTTAGACTTTTTTGTGGGGTGGGAGAAGGAAGAAGTAGCTGGAAGCTTGGTCCACAAAGTTGCAAATGTCTGGTCGCTAAGCTGGGCCTGGTGGGTGGAGGGTTTGTGGGGTTGAGAGAGAGCAGGCGGACAATAACGGTTGCTATTAACAGGTGATTGAGATACGTTCAGGATGTTCCTTACCCCTACCCCTTTTTTGGTCCATATCTGTATGGATGGTTTAGATAAGATCCAGAACTCTAAAAGCCACACATGCTAGCTTCCTATTTCCACTCTGATTGGCTCCAAATGACATAGTTTAAAAGTTTCAGTTTTCCCATCTTGAATATGGGCATGGAGTTATAACCAGTAGAGTGAAAGTATGAGACTTAAACCACAGATAATGGACGTTGAAGTGACTTGAGAGATTATCTGGACCACTGGTGCTCGTGTTTGAGCATGTATCCGAATCACCTGGGGGGCTTGTTAAACCGCAGATGGCTGGGCCCCAATCCCAGGGTTTCTGAGTCAAGATCTGGAGTGGCTTTCTGACAAGCTCCCAGGTGCAGTAGCAGTAGCTGCTGCTGCTCTAGAGACCACGCTCTTAGGAGCGCTGATCTGGTTATACTTACTTATCTTACAGAGGAGAGAAACTGAGTTTCAAAGCAACCCACACTTTTACCAAAGTTATTTAGCTAGCAACTAGAGTTTGGCTCCGTGACATTGAACCAACTGGGTTTTTGAATACTGCATCAACACTGAGAAGGATGAACTGATATCAAATGTCTTGCATATGTTTCCAAGGGTGGTTTACTCGATGGTGGTCTGCTACGAGTCAGCCATTTATTTTGGTCTGTTTTTTCAGTGAGTCAAGGATTCTTAAGTCTCCAAGCTAAACAGGAGTACTGCCTGGAGCCAGAATGCATCGAAGCTGGTAAGTCACAGTTTTCCATCCTGTGTCAAGTTATAATTATGGTACCTTGGGGAGTGGAAGAGAAAACAGGTGGTATTTTTAGTATTCTGTTTGCTTGAGGTTTACCAAGCACGAAATGCAATTTTGAAGAAATTTTAAGTTTACTTTCAAGTTTTGGTGTGAAATAGTGGAGCTTAGATTTCCTGTTTTCTTTTTCCTTGCAAAAAACAGCTGTGGTATTCTAAGCGTTCTTACAAGGAAATCAGAAAGGGTCTTCGAAGGCTGAATGGCTTCTCTTAAGACCCAGAGGCAGAGAACACTGGTCTTCCCATGGCTCTGCTGGCTATAAATTCCTCTTTACCTTAAGCCGTTGTATAATTTCTGGTCTGTGGGCCACACTTGCCTGCCTCTAAGCAATGCTCCTTTATAAATAAATCCATGCTTCCATTGTCAGTGGGAATTCTTTTTTTTTTCTTTTTTTAAATTGAGATGGAGTCTTGCTCTGTTGCCCAGGCTGGCGCCATCTCAGCTCACTGCAACCTCTGCCTCCCAGGTTCAAGTGATTCTCGTGCCTCAGCCTACCGAGTAGCTGGGCTTACAGGTGCCTGCCATCACACCCGGCTAAGTTTTGTGTTTTTAGTGGAGACGGAGTTTCACGATGTTGGCCAGGCTGGTCTTGAACTCCCAGCCTCGTGATCCGCCCACCTCAGCCTGCCAAAGTGCTGGCATTACAAGTGTGAGCCACCACGCCAGCCGGGAATCCCTTTTTTTTCTGTTCCACATTGCAAGTCAAACTTCTCTTGAAGTGACCAGTCTGTGTTATCAGTGGGTACCCCAAGGTGAAGATGAGGGCTTAAGGTTGCCTCAGTTTTGCCACACTGTCTTACCCCATCGAACTTGTGGCTGGAGTTGCCCCAAAAGCAGCGACAGGAACTTCCCAGGAGGGAGTACCCTAAACCATCCCAAGATGGGGCCAGTTAGGATTCTAAAGAAAGAAGCATTAGGAGAGACAGTGGGGGGTGGGGAGGGATAACATGGGGAGAAATGCCAGATATAGTATGCACCTAAAGTAAAATAAATTAAAAAAAAAAAAAGAAGCATTGAATAAATGCCAGGGTGGCCAGTCAGTCCAAAGCATTTATTATGGCAATTTACATCGAAAGTGCTGCAGTGTATCCTCAAGACAGAGAAAACGAGTTCTACTTAGGTATGTCTGCAGTCGGGGCATTAGGGTGTGGAGACTATTTGAGGGTTAAAGGAATTTGGATCGGAGGCAGCACTAGTTTCTTTGAAAGTTTTGTGCATCAACCTAGATACCTTTATCAGTGCCTGGGAATGTTCAAGGGTCCAGTTTAGGCCTAAGCCTGCTGGGAAAAACTTGCAGCTGGAATTATCCGGGCGTAGCGGCTCATGCGTATCATCTCAGCTACTCAGGAGGCTGAGGCATGAGAACTGCTTGAGCCCAGGAGGCGGAGGTTGTGGTGAGCCGAGGTCGTGCCGTTACACTCCAGCCTGGGTGACAGAGAGAATCTCTCTCAAAAAATAAAACAAACTTGCAGCTTACTGGGTCACAGAATGGTCAAAGTACTCTGCAATTTTTTGTTAGGACACCGAAAGTGGGGCTACCTAGGGGTCCCATACACAGCTGTTAGATTTCCCTCCTACATCAGCGTTAGGGCCTAGATTTGAGGGAGCCAGATTTTAGCCCTCACCTTCACTCTTTAAGTGGGCAGGGACACTTTTTTCCTTTTTCCAAAAGGAAAGTCATCAAACAAGTTGAGCATGTGGCCCTTTGACCTTCCTCTTGGCCTTAAGGGGTTAATGAACAAATTCACCAAATATTTACTGAACACCAGATTTGGAGTTAAGTTTTGGAAATAGAGCAGTGAACCAGATATGGGGAGAAAGACAATAAGGCAATTTATGCAACAAGAAAATTATCAGACTGGGCATGGTGACACGAGCCTTTAGTTCCAGCCACTTGGGAGGCTGAGGCTTGAGCCCTGGAGTTGTAGGCCAGCCTGGGCAAATTAGTGAGATCCCCATCTCTAAAAGAAAGAGAAAACTATCAGTCAGTGGAACATGTTATAGAGAAAATTGAAATATTAAAATAGAATAATGTGATAGCAAGTGACAGCGTGGCTAGATTGAAAAGCCGCAGGACATGACCTTGGAGGTGACCTTTGAATGATGAGAAGGGAACTGCTGTGTGAAGACTGAGGCAGGGGCTTTCCGGGTGGGGGAAAGAGATGGGGCAAAGAGCACACAGAAGCTTGAACTTGGTGGACTTGAGGAACAGGAGGAGCTTGCTAGATGAGGTGCAAGTGATGGGGAGTCAATGGGGGTCCCAAGTGCCAGTGAGTTTGGGCTTTGCTTAAGTGGGCTAAAAACCCTCTGGAGGCTTTTATGAAAGGGAGTACATCTTATGAGCATTTAAAAAGCTGTCTTGGTGGAGAGCTCCATTAGAGGGAGTTTTTCTCAATGGAGAAGAGACCATAGCGAGCAAGAATAGAAGAAGGTGGCCCAGGTAGGCGGTTTATTTCCATATGCCAGGTAACAGGTGATGCTGTCTTGAATTCAAGAGATGTAGAGGGAGAATGGGGGGAGGTTCTGGAGGTAGAGGGTCTAATGAGGGATTCGATGTGGGCTGTGAGCAAAAGCAGACAATTGGGGATGATGCTTAGATTTTTGGTGATGGTTGGGTGGTGGTGTTTATTGAGATGGGAAACTGAAAGAGCTTGTAAACTCTGAGACCTTATATAAGGGTATAAGGGTAGTGAGTTAGGTAATTACATTAGTAGAGTTCTTTTTTTGTTTTATTCTTTTTCTTCTTCTCTCTTTTTTTTTTTCATTGCAACCTCCACCTCCTGGGTTCAAGTGATTCTCCTGCCTCAGCCTCCTGAGTAGCTGGGATTAGAGGCACCTGCCACCATACCAGGCTAATTTTTGTATTTTTAGTAGAGTCGGGGTTTCACCATGTTGGTCAAGCTGTTCTCGAACTCCTGACCTTGTGATCCACGTGCCTCGACCTCCCAAAGTGCTGGGATTACAGGAGTGAGCCACGGTGCCCGGCCTTTTGTTCCATTCTTGAGTGATCAATATTATGTATATTTTTTAACTAGGCTGTACGTTAGGTGACTTATAGGCACCATCTCATAAAACCTTCATGAGACCCCCTATGAAGTTAGTGCTGTCACCAGCCTCACTTGCCGACGAGGAAATGGAGGCTTCTAGAGGCTAAACGACTGCCCAGGGTCACATCCTGAGTTAGCAGAGCCGGGCTTCATGTCCATGTCTGGCTCCTTTCCATCTTTTCCTTGGTGATATGGGGCCATGCCAGGCAAGACCCTGGAACGATTTGGGAACTCCCAGGCCCCTTCCTGTTCCAGGATTGAGTTGTTGACCTGGGGTTTTCTCCAGTGGTGAGAGGATGTCATGGAGTAGGGTGTATCCATCAGGGCAGGTTTTAGAGTTGATGTCGCCTGGTGCTTTGGCTGTGGTAGGGTTCTTGCAGATGTGTGAAATGGGAATTTTTGAGCTCATAAATTTTCAGCTTGAGTTTAGAACACTTTTTGGTATGGAGGGCCACTTATTTTGTGAGTTTTAATGTGGGATTATGAAATCATAATGCAAGACTAAAACTTACAGACTGACATTCAAGAAGGTTGCCTCCTGCCAGCGAGTGTGTTTTCCCTCGCTGTTCTGTTTTTAATTTTCACGTTGGCAAATGGCTTTCTAATGTTGGGAAAAAAAAACAAACATTGATTTTGCTGTTTCTGTAGTGAAAGATTCACCAAAGACACAGTTCTTTGGAGTGTAATGTGACCCTCAGTGTGCCCAGGGGTCTGCGGAACAGCTGCTGAGTACATGTGTCAGGAGAATTGTGGCCAAGTCAGGGCCTTGAACAAGAGGCTGTGCGTGCATGGGCGTGCACGCTGACGGTTGAGAAGAGCAGAGTGTTTGGTCGCCTTCTGGACCATTTCTCAGCAGGTGCCAACCATTTCTGAGATGCCTCCTCTCCATAACTCCCCTCTCCTCTGTGTCCTCTTATTGTAATCCCTCTTTCAAAATAAGAGCTGTACAAAGAATGCAAAGAAACAAGGAAAGGGCATGCATGCTTATATCACAGACAAGGGCAGACAGGCTAACTGGGTTTGAAGCATGATCTAGCTATTTACAAGCCACATGATCCTGGGTGAAATAAATAGCCTCTCTAAGCCTCAGTCTCACCATGTGTAAAATGGGAATAACAGTTTTTACTTATACTTAGTGTGAGAATAAAAGAAAATAATAATGGGCTGGGCATGGTGGCTCACATCTGCAATCCCAGCATTTTGGGAGGCCGAGGCGGGCCGAATCACTTGAGGCCAGGAGTTTAAGATCAGCCTGGTCAACATGGTGAAACCCTGTCTCTACTAAAATTACAATAATTAGCTGGGAGTGGTGGCACATGCCTGTAATCCCAGCTACTTGGGAGGTGGAGGTTGCAGTTCAGCCTGGGCAACAGAGTGAGACTCCATCTCAAAAAAAAAAAATAAATAAATAAAGAGAAAGAAGAAAATAATAACGGTAGTGGCAGTATTCTAAGTTCACAATGCTGACTCTTTTTTTGTTTTTTTGAGGCGAAGTTTTGCTCCTGTTGCCCAGGCTGGAGTGCAGTGGCCCCATCTCCACTCACTGCAATCTCTGCCTCCCAGCTTCAAGCAGTTGTCATGCCTCAACCTCCCAAGTAGCTGGGGTTACAGGTGTGCGCCACCACGCCCAGCTAATTTTGTATTTTTAGTAGAGGTGGGATTTTTCCATGTTGGTCAGGCTGGTCTCAAACTCCCAACCTCAGGTGATCCACCTGCCTTGGCCTCCCAAAGTGCTGGGATTACAGGCGTGAGCCACCGCGCCCAGCCCACAATGCTGATTCTTAGCCCCAAACCCAGTAAACATTGTAACTCTCAGTTGGCAAGATGGGGCCTGATCTCAATTTCTTTGAGGGTGAAATTGGATCTTAACTCATGGGAGGCTGCTTCAGACTTAGTTTATCCTACTTAAAAGAATAATATGCATATGTTTCCCTATAGAGCTATTAATGCACTTGCTTCAGGCCTGCCCCTCTAGCTATTGCTGAAATATTACGTGATTTGTGGTTATATGCAATGTATTTCTTTTCTAAAATCTGAAAAATCTATGAGGCCTGAAACATATCTAGCCTCAAGAGTTTCAGATGGAATTATAGTTCACAGATTTAGCTAAATACATACATACGTACGTACAGGATGCTCAGTGAAATTTGAATTGCAGATATGCAATGACTGCTTTTGGTGTATGTCCCATGCAATATTTGCTACATATTCTAAAAGGTGGTTGTTTATCAGTAATTCAAACTTCATTGGGCATCCTCCATTTATATGGTAATGTGCCCCACCACTGTTCTAAGTACTTTACATATATTTACTCATTTAATTTGCATAATGATTCTATGGGTGCTATTATTATCCCCGTTTTCAGGTGAGGAAACTAAGACACAGGTTAAATAACCTGCCTAAGGTGACTTAGCTATTGCAAGGGTGTTTCTCTCATTCAAACAGAGCAGTCTGACTCTAGAGTTTGTGACGATGCCATATTGCTTAAAAAGGGCTTAGCATAGTCCCGGCAAAAAGGAAATACTCAGTATTGGTGGTTTTATTATTATTTATTCTTTGAGATGGAGTTTCGCTCTTGTTACCCAGGCTGGAGTGTAATGGTGCGATCTCAGCTCACCACAACCTCCACCTCCTAGGTTCAATCAATTATCCTGCCTCAACCTCCCCAGTAGCTGGGATTACAGGCATGTGCCACCATGCCTGGCTAATTTTGTATTTTTAGTAGAGATGAGGTTTCTCCATGTTGATCAGGCTGGTCTCGAATTCCTGACCTCAAGTGATCCGCCCGCCTTGGCCTCCCAAAGTGTTGGGATTATAGGTGTGAGCCACCTCGCCCAGCCCGTGTTATTGTTAATTATTTTTATTACTACTTTCTGTCTTCATCCTTGATTAAATCTAAAAACAGAGGCTGATATTTGGGGAGGATGCCTCCACTTGTACCACATAAACACCAGCTGAAGACTGTGACAACTAACCTTATATACGATGACTTGGAAGAGTATGTAGCCTGAGCTTTCACAGATTTTCTTCATCTTCATATTTTTTTATTAAAACAAGACTGGGTTTTCTCCGTGGAGCTGAGTAGGGGGAAAGGAGTTTCCGTGTCTTGACAACTATGGTGCCTTGCAATTTGAAGTCACAGTTCCCCTGCAGAAAGTGTAGCCCTGTGCCCCGCTGTGAATTGTGAATGATGAATTGGGAGGCTGAAGCTAGAGTTTTCTCACTCAGCAAGCTTCTTTCCAAATTCAGTGTGAGTGATGTATTCCCCAACTTTTGTATCTGAGCCAAGGTCAGAGCTGACCTTGCAGTTTTTCTAGTTACCTGCAAGAATACTGGCGAGATGGAGAGGATACATTTGAGGGTTGGGGGCAGGGACAGTTTGAGAAGGAGGCTGGAAAACAGTGCACTTATGCGAGTACAAATGCGGGTGAGGGCTCCCCTGTGTGACTGTAAATGTTGTGTGGGACTGAGACATGTGATCCATGTCTCTGAGGTGTCACATAGCAGATTCATTCTGTGGCTGCGTGTAGTAACTAAATACCAACCAAAGGAAAGATTTTGTTATGTCCTAGCACATTAAATATTAATGATAAAATAGTAGCAGTAAGTAAAAATATAATTAGAGGTAACTGATGCTAGTTCTAAATCACAAAAATGTTAAGCAAATTTGAAATTTATCAAACTTCTAAGCCCTCTTTTTTTTTTTTTTTTTTTTTTTTT